CGTCTAATGATAAGATTCTCAGAAGGCCACTCTCTTGTTGGAGCACTTGGTCCACTTATAACTGACAAATTGTGAGGATGTGCTTCACGTCCATCTTCCCTTTTGGACAAGTGACTCTTCCCTGTGATGGAAGAGACCGTGTGTTTTGCCCACTGCGGCGTCCAGCTCCTCACAGAACCTGGCCTATGTACTTCTTGACTGACCATTAGCCAAAGCAGTATTTCAGATTCCATGTAAGTGGACAGAGAAGAGGTGAGGAAGGAGGGGTTAAAAGAGAAATGGATCCCCTGAAAATTAGGTTACTTTATCAGGTGTTGAGAGAGAAGCTGAGTGAACCTCAGGTCTGAATCGGTCCTCTTCTCTGAAGGGGCCTGCCTAGGACTGGGGACTGAGCCTTATGAAAGGCTTGGATAGGCAACATAATAAAAATCACAAGATGCAAATCAACTTTCTTCTGTGATGGCAATGTTACAGAGAGCTTTTGAGTTGTTTTGGGTAACTCGGTAGCCATCTAAAAATGACTTCGGCTCATAAAGAATGTGGGAAGATAGGGTAGAGGAAGGGCCCCAGGAGCGAGCCATAGTGGCCTTGGCTGTTAGACTTCTTTTGTCCTGACTTGAAAATCTTTCACGGTTTGAATCTCGTATTTTTTAAATCAAAACTATAGTGCTGAACAAGAGATAAAACACCTAGACTTTATTTAGCCCTTGTCTGAGATGTGATACGACTTCAAGGCTATTCTATGTTAAAATATGGTGGTTATTTTTCATCACCAGTGAGATGGGTAAATCTGAGATGACAAAAACTTTAAGGTAATGAAAAGGACAAAGGATAGAGCCAAGGAATTTTTTAAAAATTGAAGTTCAGGGAAAATGATGAAATCTCCTACTCTAGGGATATTTAGGAAGAGGGTAGAGTCCATTTCCCTGAGATTGGGAGAACAACGGGTAATTCTATGTGAACAGTGGTAACCATTTAGTCTTCCTTGTGTTTCAATAAGAACAGCAAGACCACACTTGAAGGAAACCTGTTAAAAAGTCCACCCTTGGAGTTCACAGAGTAGGGGTCTCTTCTTGCAGAGGAGTTCCGTCTAAGCAAACTATTACTATGGCTCTTTTAGAAACCCATGGTAAAGGCTGATCTGCAAGTCCCGTGAAGCTTATTTGAATTCATGTGTGTTAAGGCCTAAGGTTTAGCAGGCACTTTACCTCATTGAAGCTGGTGCTTTAATACCAAGGGGACATTAAAACCTAGTCACACAATATATCCTGTCTCCACCAAACAGCGTTAACAACCACCACAAAAAACCTACCATAAACTGGGCAGAATCATGCTAAACAAGGCTTTTACATTGCTTCAGGCAGAGGCAGATCATATCTTTACTCATAATGCTTTTCCTTAGTTTCACCAGCGATATTAGTCATTTCAAAACCTGGGTGAGCTTCTCCTGCTTCTTTGTGGGACCAGTTCTGTTTCCCACAGGCCGAAGCCCATCTACATGCGGGCTGAACATCCAGGCTTTCCCCACAGAGCATTTGGTGACGGGGCAGGGAGGGTCGGGGGAACATTTGCGCAGGGCATTCCCTGAACCCCAGTAGGAACTGCTACTCGAGAAAGGAGAAAATCCAGGTTTCTTGGAGAGTCCCGGGGCAGAGATGGTGGTATGATGAGGTGTGACACACAGAGCCGGATTTTCCACTTGGCTGTAGCTTTGGTAGTGATTTTTCATCTGGGTTGGACTAAGAGTATTAAGGGCCAGAGGCAGTGACGTGCAGCAATAAAGGGCAAGGGGGCCCCGGGGCTGGGAGGTTTGATATCTCTGGACATTATCTCTGAATGCAAAGAGCTCCCTCCGAAAGCCCTTCCGGGCCTCCTGGAACTGAGGACAGGAAACGGAACAGCGGGTGTCAATGGAGAGCCCCTAGAGGAGAGAGAGGCCAGCCTGGTGGAGAGGCTGCCCCCCTGTGGGGTTCACGAGGGGTGGGGTGCGTGACACCCTCCTCTGTCCCCGCACTACCCCTGGGGCTCTACACATCTCCACTTCTGTCTCCCTCACGTAGCGAACGTGACAGGAGAGGATCAGAGAGCTCCAGCGACTTGCCCCAGGTCACATAGCGAGCATGTGAACATATTTGGTCTAAAATCAGACTCCGGAATCTTTCTCAGACTCCACCGTTCCTTCCACGAATAATGTTTATCTTTGTTTCTCCCTTTCTCCCAAGCTTTACCAAGAGACACTATCTCCCAGAATGAGAAACATCTGGATGTTGTTGGGTTCGCTGACACATGCATTTGGTGACCCCACAGAACATTCCGGTGGCTGCTCGGAGCTATGAAGGAAGCGGCTGCTGCTTTCTCTGGCCCGGGGAGCTGGCTGGGTGAGTGCCTTCAGTCACGGAAAGTCCCTTCCCCAGATGGACTCTGGCTTTCCACCGGCTTCTTCTGCTTCTAAAATAAAACCGGGCTAATCCCTCAACCATGCAAGGTCAACAGGTGGGCTTGCCCCTCCAGCATTCGTCAGAGGTGTGAAGAGGTCACTTTTTTATGTGCATGGCTTCGCTCCTCTGGCTGCCACACCTCTGTCCTGATCCCGCTGACCGGCTCTGATTACTTCTGTGCCTGCTCGGCCAAAAGCCTCTTCACGGTCGCTGTTTTCTCCGGTTACCCTCTTGCTGAACTTGGCCTTCAGAGTTACCTTCGCTTCTCTTTAACGAGCAACGTCCGTGAGCGCAGGCGCAAGCCGCGTGGTCATTGCCCTACCTGGGGACTGCGGGCCATTCGGCCGTGAAAAGCTCCGGTTGCCCCCCTCCGCCCCCCCATTCCTATCAACCCCACGGATGCAGTCGGATGACTTCCTCATGTCCTCCGGCCGCGGCGCTGGGGCACTGTAGAAAGAACTAGCCCCAAGTATGTTTAGAATTGATAGCTCTAAGAGCAGGCTTGGTCTGCGTTTTCAGTCCTGCGGTGGCGAAGAGAACTGACCACAGTGTGTGGGTTTACAGTGCAATACAGACGTGATGAGAAAACAAGTCAAGAACACGGCAGCACCGCCTCCCCCCCCCCGGCCCCGTTTCAGAGCTCCGCCCCATTCCCACGGACACATTCCCCAAACAAGCAACTGTAGGGGTAACGCATGTCATGGTTTATTCACTTTGGGCCACTCGAACAGACTTTGTCCACATTTCCTTAGTGCACTTTTTTTTTTTTGATTTGAAACCATAAGTACATTAAAATAAAAGAATTAGGTCAAATACGCCATAGTTAAACAGTTTTGAAATTTGTTTTAGATGTTAGACTAACACCACCATTTAATAGGTGGCCTTCGTGTGGCCTATGGAAGCCAACAGTTTCTAAGGAATAAAGAAGTGCAGAAAACCAAATATGAATTTGGGGGCATTTTAGAAAAACAAATCACAAAAAGCTTCATTAAAAACACCTTTGCGTTTTTAAACTTTTCTAACTTCCAAAATGTGATTTTGAACATTATGCAAATATTTTAGAGGCAGAATAATATATTTTTTAAATATTATCCATTTCTCTAATGAACAATCAGGAAAACAGGTGACAGGTGACTTCAATTTCACAGGCAAATATATATGGGGTACACATTCATATGTCTATTTTCTGATTACATCTTACTCCAGGTAATGAGGGTCCTTGGTCCAAATGGGGCTTGTCAGGAGCAGAATTGCCAGACAGTGTGAGTGAAGTGGGATGCTGAGCTCTGCAACACTTTACTGGGGGAGAGAATGAAAATCAGGTGCAACCAAGAAGACAATCCTCAATCGGCTTGCTCTTCGCAACTCAGGAGGATGAGTAAAATGTGTTCACCCTGAGAGTTACTTCTAGAGAACTTCAGGGAGAAAATCTGGAGCCCCCGATCAGCATAAAGTGCCAGGTAGGGGGCTTGGTTGGTGGTGGAGGACCCCAGTGCAGTGCCCCTGGTTAGAGCAATTATTTATTCTCCACAGGTCATGTGGGCACAGAATTGAGCTGTCTGAATTGGAGGCACGAGGAAGCAATTTCACCTTTGCGGCATTTGCCCCAGGAGCCCATGTCCTTAGGGTGAGGTCTGTTTGCTTGATGCTGATGTCGCCAGTCTGTCAGCCCTGTCGGTCATTCCTCTCTTGCTGTTAGAAGAGTTTCTCCTGTTTCCCCTTCTGCCTTGGAGCTGAGGGGGTAACAGGGCCTTCCCAAGAAAGCGGAGCCTGAGTTGTGGGGTCAACACACAGGGGTGAGATGAAGACACTAAGTAGGTAAGCACCCAAGCCTTGGTCCCAGAGACAGTCACCTGTGAGGACAGGTGTGTGACAAAGCCCAATGCAGAGCCCTTCTAATGGGGTCAGGAACCTGGGGGACACATACAGCCTTCCTTCCAAGGAGGTGACTGGCTGGTCCTACTAAAGTATCTATCCCAGTTGGGTAGGGGGTTGGGTTCAGCCCTCCACCAGACTCTGAGGAATCTGCGTCATCCCTGGACCTCGGAGGAGCGAGCTGGTGCTCTGGGATGCAGATGTAGTGGAGGTGCAGAGGGGTCCCCCTAAAGTGTCTGGGCAGGAGACCCGAGCTGCTGGCCTCTCTGGGCCTGGAGGCAGCTGGATGAAGCGTGCAGCGTTGCTCTGCCCTTGCTGGCAAATGTCGGGTAAGGGTGGGAGGGGTCCCGAGACAGTGAGTTGACTTTGATGCAGCTTTTGTCCACGTCTAGCTCAGGGCTGCACACGGGAGGGGATGGGGGTCTCTTGACTCTTCAGGGTTTGCCTATGGCCATACCCGTGGCTTCCCCTCTGCTCTCCTTCTGGCAGGCTAGAGTCTCCCTCCAGTCCCTCTCCTTCCTCTGGGAATGCGTGCAGAGCTGACTCGACAGAGCGGGAGTGGAGTATTTGGCAGTGGTGACTTTGCGGCAGTCCCTGTATTTTTTTTTCTTTTTTTTTTTGTCCCTGTATTTTCATGAAACAGCACCTAGATCGACTGCTCCCTCTCCCTCTCTTAAAGCTGGACGCTCAGAAGACAGGGATCTGGCCTCTGTGGACCACATCCAGGTCATCATCCAGGGTTAACAGAACCTGGAACGAGAGGAACAGAGAGATGAAGCCAGGGTCAGCCGCAACCTTCTCCCTGAGACTCACACAGGCTGACGCGACCGGCGCCCTTACTTGCCTTTCTGTCCCCTACAGCTTTCTGCAACGCAGCGCTCTCTACAGGCGATTATTAGGATTACAGAGTTTACGTAGTAATTAATTCAAATGTTTATCAAGGGTCCATTATGTGCTATTCTAAATGCCAGAGATAGTTTGGAACACAAGAGACAAAACTCCCTACCGTTCTGGAGCTTACATTTGAGAGACAGCTTCAGACATGAGCAAATACGTGTAGCATGCTAGTGAGGTGTGCTAAGTACAGTGTACAAGGTAATAACACGTAATAAAAACAGTAATGAAAATTAGACCATGGAGGGAACACAGGGAGTATGCGTTGGGGAAAGGTAAAAAAGTGCTGATAGGGTGGCCAGGGAAGTCATAACTTAGAAGGGGACATTGGGCTTAAGATCTAGAGGAAAGGAAGTCTTGTTGCATAGAGTATTGCTATACAAGAAATGCACACCCCCTCCTCCATTTTTAGTTCCCTCTACCACCGCTCTCTTCACGTGGAAACTTTCACTCCTTTTGTTGTCTCTGTCTCTCTAATGAAAGTGTTTATCAGAAATAAAAGTCACAAGGAACGAGGTTTAGGCGGATTGTTGAACTTCCCCGGATGGCCACGAGGTGGCAGCCCCGCTCCACTCTCGAGGCTGCGCGGCGGCCGCGCAGGGAGCACAGGTCTCGCCGCGTTGTTACTTGCCAGCAGAATCCGTGTCCAGGCACCGCGGGCTTTTAATATGGAAAAGTCTCTAAATGAGGGTGAAAGGATGCGAGGAGTGATCATCCAAGGCTGTTAGGCCATGCATAGCTTCTGGAAAGGTGTTTGGGCCAAAAGAAATGGAGGGATTACAGAAGAGATCTGGGGCCGACTGGTGAGAAGCAGCAGAGGCGCCTGGGCGGATCTCCTGAGCGCTCTAGGAATTTGTAAAATATCTGTAAGATATTCAGTGAGACTGGGAGAGGGGGAATGTGAGGGTGGCACAAGTATGTTTCCCAAATGTGAGTGAATGCCAAAAGTGATTCCCGGGGCGATTCAGGGCATGTGAGTTCTAACAACCAATTCAACCCAGACGTTGCGCCATTTAAGAAAAATCATTTTGTCACTCTGTCTTAAAATATTGGAGAGTAAAAGGAAAACGAAAATAAAGATCTAACTGAAGGAGAAGAAATAAAATAGTCTGTATATTGAATTACAATGAGGAATCAGAAAGGGAAGTTCGAGAGAAATACAAAAGGGTAAGGAAGAGGGGAAAAAAGAAAAAAAAAGTATGGGATGTGAAGAAAGAAATTAACAAAAAGGTATTTTTAGGGGTGCCTGAGTGGTTCAGAAGGTTAAACCTCTGCCTACCACTCAGGTCATGGTCTCGGGGTCCTGGGATTGAGTCCCGAGTTGGGCTCCCTGCTCAGCAGGGAGTCGGCTTCTCCCTCTCCCCCTGCTCCATTTCTCTCTCGCTCACTCTCTATCAAATAAATGAATAAAATCTTTTTAAAAAATGTGTATTTCTTAAAAAAAAAAGGTATTTATAAACTCACCAAGAATGAGAAAAACAGGGCAGTGGCAGAGAGGAAGTGCCAGATGTCATGGTCATCAAAGAAATCCAGCAGGATACACTCCCGGTTCCGCTCCCGGGATTCGGCTGGGGTGTCCTGGAGGAAGGCGAGGCAGGACGTGAGTGAGCATTCCCACAGTTCAACTGTTTAGAGGGCTGAACATCCAGAAAGCTACAAAAAGGCTACTAGATTAGATGCCTGGCTCCAAAAGCGAGCTTCCAAGAAAACCTGAGTGCACGTGAAAACTTGTACACAATGTTCACCGCAGCAGCATTCCTAAGAGCCAAAGAGTGGAAACAATCCAAATGTCCATCAGCTGATTATAGAGGAGAAGTGCTGTCTCCACACAAGTGAGTGTAATTCAGCAGTAAAAAGAGATGGCTACGGATATGTGCTACCCCACGGATGAATGCCTAAGCCAGACTCAAAGGCACATGTTGTATGACCCATGGATATGAAATGTCCAGAACAGGCAGAGCTACGAGACAGAAGAGAGACTGGGGGTTGCCTGTGGCTAAGGCGTGAGGGAGAAGTGGGGAGCGACGGCTAATGGGCGCAGGCTTGCTTTCTGGGCTGATGAAAATGTTCTAGTTGATTGATTGTGGTGGTGGAGAGCTGAGGCTTCCTGTTTGCTCCTGTGTATAGCCCTGGTTTCCTAGGCCTCTGCTCTCCTCTCTATGCCTCGGGTTTATAAACGCCGGCAGCTGGGGATCTGTTTATGGATGTGGATTATGAGAAGAACACACACGTATCAAGGTTTTTGCACACGTTAAACATCCACTGGGGGGAGGATCGTCATACAACACATAATGAAGATCAATTCTGTGGCGTCTGGAGGGCCCCCACGTCGACGAGGTGTGGCCCTGACGGTGAGGACCGCGTGCCGTTTATGCATGGATAGGAAATACCATCCCTTTTAGAGAAAGCTTTCATTTCAAAGACAAACAGCCACAAGCACTCGAAGAGAGGGAGGTAGGAAGGTCCAAAAGGCAAGATGGAGGGAGAACATTTTCTTTGCAAAGAAAACTGCCTTCTTACCTCCCAGCTGCTGGGGTTCTGGAAGAAAAAGTACAGCGAGGCGGTCCACATCACAACAGTGGCCATGATGCAGAGGCATGGGGTCGGGAGGAGCTTCTCTGAGCTGCAAAGCTGTGGGTGGGAAGCAGAAGTCGCCAGGCTGGGGTACTGCTTGTGCAGGGCCCCGGGCTGCCGGTGGGGGGCCCCCAGCGCCCACTCTTACCTTCATGCTGATGTAAAAGGTCAGATAGAGCAGCAGGTTACAGATGAAGATCCCCAGCATGTAGGAAGCAAAGTCCCTGGGCCGCAAGATCAGTCCACAGAGCGCACTGAGGGTAAGGAGGAATGACTTTGTAGGCGTAAAGGTGGATTTGTAACATTCTTGGCTACTTCGCTCCCCACTTGTATTTTGGGGAGGAGGGGAATTAAAAAAAACTTTAACCTACGTAAATTACTACACCTCCTTCAGACCTGGCATTTTTGATGGTTGTAAAGTTCTCATAAGTGGATGTACCACAATCATCTTTCCTCTCTAGATGTCTTGTAGCTTTTCATTATTCTAAAGAACACTGCAATGAATAAATGAATACCTTCAGACATAGCGTGCTTTTCTTTTCTCTCTTTTTTTTTGGCATTTAAGATTAGCTCATAAGATTAGATTATAGGAAGTAGAAAAATATCTCAAAAGTTGGCTGGACACACATTATCAAATTTTTGCTAGCTGTCTATGGTTTTTAAATTAATACCAAAGTTTATTTTGATTGGGGTTTAGCATTAGCATTTAGCATGTTCCAAACTTCTATTCAGTTACAATAAAACTCTTTATTATAGAACCCTTCCTATGTCCTTGTTTTGAAAAGCTTGTTTTTAATAAATACAGACACACACACACATAGTTGGATTTCTATCCTCTCCATGCTGCTTCACTAATTTGTTTCTAATTTCTAATTTTGGGTCACTGTGTTATTATTTTAGAATATGTTAGATTATCTGGTTAGCCTAGCTTGTACTACCCAATATGGTAGCTACATGTGGCCATTAAATTTAAATTAATGAAAATTAAATAAAATTGAAAATTCAGTGCTTCAGTCACACTAGCCACATTTCAAATGTTTAGTAACGATATTTGGCTTATAGCTACCGTAAGGGACAATGCCGTGTAGAAGATTTATATCATTCCAGAAAGTTCTGTTGGATAAAACTGGACTAGTCATTGTACTCCTCTGCCCTTCCTTCCTTCCACTAATCTTCTTTTGTGAGACCTTTGGAAATTTTGTGCTAAGTAGGAAAATAATTTCAGAATAAAATCCTATTCCAATTTTAAGTCAAAATTTATGCATTAACTTGAGAACTAATATCTTTACAACAGTTAATCTTCCCACCCAGGGCACGACATCTCTCTTCGTTCAGTTAACTTTTCCTTTTTGTCTCCTAATAAGGTAATTAAATTTTCTGTAGAAAGAGTCCTCCTGTCACTCAAAGTTTATTCCTAAGTATTTGAAATGTAAAGCTCTTATTAATGGACTCTCTTTTTGTTCACTTTGTATTCCAACCAACTTTGTTCTGTATAATATAGGAAATTTCCTCCTCCCAGAATTTGAACTCTTCAATGTACCAAAACTCATAAACTTTTCACTGAGATTCATCCATTATTAGCACTTGCCACATTTGGTTATCTCTCTTTCTCTGTGTGTGTGTACCTACATATGTATACGCACATCTCTCTCTCTATGTGTGTACAGACACACCACATCATTCTTCTTCATGACTGTATGAGAGTGATTCCTTTTAAAATAACATTCAAGGTTTATATTAAATCACTCCATGTCTTGTAATGTCCAGGAGAAACTGAGGATGGAGGAACAAAGAGGAAGGTAACCCCCTCCTAGGCCATCACAGTGTTGGTGTGTCATCACACCTCATTCATCCCTGCAGGCCTGGATGCCCAAGGAGCTCCTGTGTAAGAAAAGTGAGGCCATTCACCTTGTCTTGTGAGCAGATGATGGGTTTGGTTTTGGTTACGTGAGAGGCAGCGACAAGCCAGGTGATTGTGAGCACTGGGGACATGGTTATCGGTTGCTTCTTATCAAGCAGTTGGTCCCTTTCCTCCTACCAGCACCCAGCACCCTGTCTTACAGTCATCAGGACTGTGGGGTCTGCCCTCAAAGAGTGGTCAAGAAGAGCACCACAGGTGAGCACTGCCAAGAACCACCCACCTTGACGTATCCCTACGTAAAGGAAGGGTCCTTCACAGGTGTGGATCTTACCCGGAGTCATCCCTGGGTGACAACACTATGGGAAGATTTTTCCAGAAGCATATGCCCCAAATAAGATTTGAATTCTCATGACCAGATTCTGGCTTCCCCTGAAGGTGTGCCTCTTCTTCCATTCCTTTCATGTCTTAAAGGGGGACAGGGGTATGGAGTCATCTTTCCATCAGAGGTCGCTGACCTTTATAGTACATCAGCTAAGACCACGAATAAAAGCAATTAAACTTACTGTTTTTTTTTTAGGGATTAATAAAATATCTCACATTCTAAAGTTGAGAACAGGTTGTATAAAATAGTTACAGATGGCAAAATATATGTCTATTGTACTGTTCTATTTTGAAGCCATTTGAAGAAAAAAAGCCAAGGTGATAATGAAGGGAAAGAGGAAGAAGAAGAAGAATATTGGGGTGGCAGGAAGATTGAGACCTACAGGGAAAGAAATAAATAGGAAAGAGACTTGTACACACACACACATACATCCACACCCACACCCACACTTAGTAAGAAACAGAAATGTCTACTGGGTAGCGTTTATGGAGAGTTCACAAGAATTTAAAACTATGCTTCATTTGTGCATCTACTGTCGTAATCTCTATCATCTAACTATTTATGTAGTCTGTTGACATAGATAACAAATTTGATGTTGGTCTTGTTGAGCAAATGAACGCAATGCATCAATGCGTTAAACTCAACTCAACATTTGAGGAGAGGCCACTGTCAGTACACTAGGCTTGCTAGTGCATTCTTTGGAGGAGGAAAAATACCTTTCTTTCAAGTCCCTAGAGCAAGCACAGTCCTACACTCACCTTAGTTTCAGATTTCCTTATAAAAATGACAGCCAAGGAAAGAGAAACCACAGTGTTACAGACATCAGCAAAGAGAAAAGACGTGTCTTCCTAAGGCTACTTACAAGCACCCGTTAAACAGATTCCCCACGATGAGCAACACCATTCTGTCCTGGTAAGGAAACATCAAATGAGAGGCTGCACACATTGCTTTTCTTTTAACTTACCACAGGGAAGCATCGATTACGGGAGAACTGCCCGGTGGAAGTTTCCATGGTTCTGAGAGAGCTGCACCTGCCCTCGGACCCTAATCCCCCACGAGAACAAAAGGCAAGGCCTGGGACTGAATAGAATGACTTTGTTAAAGAAGATGTGGTGAGTAAACAGGACTCTTACTGTTTCCCCCCAATGTTGAGGGTCGCTGGGCACTTGGGTCCCACTTCTCGGTGAGCAGGTTGGAGGCGTGTGCAGCTGACTGAGTAGTTAAAAGCTTTCTGCTCCTGGTGTTCCCCTGCGTTGTGTTACTTCGTGGGCCATGAGGCGGCTCTTGGGACTCAGCTGGGAGGTGCTGGTTTCCTACCCATTACTCTGGCTCCAGGGAGGCCCTGCAGCTCCCAGGCTCCTGGTCTCTAAACACACAGCCTCAACACTAAAGACATTGGTAGTGGGGAAAATAGGAAAGGACCATCTCAAAGGAAAATGGCTCTGACAGAGATTAATTCACAATCTGGTCCTGCACATTTGCATACAACTTAAAACTTCTGGTGGTTTCTGATTATACTTTAATTTGCATGGCCTCGTCGACTCTTTAAAAGTGGCAATTCTCCCTCTTTGTGGGTGATCCATTCAGTTTGGAGGAAATATCTTCATTTAAAAAAATAAATTCATCTTGGGGTGCCTGGGTGGCTCCACTGTTAAGCGTCTGCCTTCGGCTCAGGACATGGTCCCAGGGTCCTGGGATGGAGCCCCACATCGGGCTCCCTGCTCAGCAGGAAGCCTGCTTCTCCCTCTCCCACTCCCCCTGCTTGTGTTCCCTCTCTCGCTGTGTCTCTCTGTCAAATAAATAAAATCTTAAAAAAAAAAATGAATCCATCTATGAAAAGGCTAAAACATTGGCCCCACCAAACATCAGTGACGATGTAGAGCAACAGGAACGCTCATTCATTGCTGCTGGGAATGCAAAATAGTATAGCCACTATGGACGATGGTTTGACAGTGTCTTAGAAAACTAAATATATTTTTGCCATATGATCGGGAAACTGCCCTCCTAGGTATTTGTCCAAAGGAGTTTATAACATAGGCCCACACAAAAACCTGCACACGGATTTTTTTTTTTTTTAAGTAGGCTTCATGCCCAGTGCAGAGCCCAATGTGGGGCTCGAACTCATGACCGTGAGATCAAGACCTGAGCCGAGATCAAGAGTCAGATGCTCAACCGACTGAACCACTCAGACGGCCCTGCACACAAATTTTTATAGCAGCTTTATTTGTAATTGTCAAGTTACGAATTGCCCTTCTGCAGGTGAATGGATAAACAAAATGTAGTAATGCATCGAGACCCTGGAGTAGTATTCAGTGCTAAAAAGTAATGAGCTACCAAGCCATGAAAAGACATGGAGACATCTTAAATGCCTATTATTAAGTGAAAGAAGCTAATCTGAAAAGGCTAAATTCTATATTATTCCAGCTATATGACGTTCAGGCAAAGGCAAGACTAAGGAGACAGTAAAAGGATCAGTGGTTGCCAGGCATTGGGGGAGGGGTGTGGTGGGAAGTACAGTGGAGCACAGAGGATTTTTAGGGCAGGGAAACTACTTTGTATGATACTAAAGTGGTGAATCCTGTTGTTACAAATTTGTCAAAACTCAAAGAATGTACAAGGGCAAGAGTGAACTGTAAACTACGGACTCGGGATGATTATGATGTGTTCATGTAGGCTCACTGACTCTAACAGATGTGCAGCTCTGGCTGGGTGTGTTGATAGTGGGGGAGGCTGTGCATGGGTGGGGGAAGGGATTGATGGGAAATTTCTGTATTTTCTGCTCAATTTTTTGTGATCCTAAAAAGTGGCTCTAAAAAAATAGTCTATTAGAAAAAAAAAAAAAGCCTGCGTCACTTAATGTAAGCAAGCAAACAAAACATTAATTGCTCTTCCTGGCTCACAGCTAAAGCATGCTTAACTCTCAAAATACTTACAGGTCCTACTGGATTTTTAAGTTCTCCTGTGAATAAAACCCTTCAGCCTCAATCCCTTCAATTTTTAGTGCCTATAGCTCCTGCCCAAGCTCTAGAGGGCTGAAATATTCTCATATTCCTTTATGTAAACATCCTTGGATCGTAAACTATTAACAGGTACTTAGGGAACTCCTGTGTGCGGGGCCCAAACAGCATCACCAATTCTGGTCACAGCACCCTGTAAAGGGTGGGGCAGTGACTCAAGGGACGTATGTAGCCTTCCTAAGGTCACTGGCCAGTGAGCCAAGATAGAGCTGGGACCAGGGCCCCAATCCCTCTGTTCTGTGTAGCAATGTACAATATACTGAAAACAATGATGGTGAATTTTTAGGACTTGTATTTCAGCCACTAAGTAATAACCATCATTTTGAAAGAATATTCTTGCCCACTGTAAAAATCAAACAATGTATAAAAATCAAACAAATGTATAATGTGGAAAGCGTAAGCTCTTACTGAAAGCAACTGGAGTGACAGGTGCCCCAGTTTGCTTGGGACAGGCCTGGTTTGAGCCTGCTGTCTTGGTACAATTACTGAGTGGGTGCTCCTTTCCCTTCCCCAAGTGAAATAATCATACCTCTTTGGATGATTTTATACACGGATGCCCTGCCTTGATCCTTCCCCATGGCAATTGTCACTGTTTAGTAGTTTTCTATGTATGCACATATGTTCTCTGTATACACTAGCAACATTTCATGTATAAAAATAGATCCATCCCAGCTTGCTTTTTCATGAGCGAGAAGAGTAAGTAACATGCTTCTTCCCCCTAACTGGACCTCAGCCACCCTAGGCCATCTGGCTCTCTTGATTTAGGGAACCTGAGTGTCTGCCCTGAGCCTGCCCCTCCTCCTGTTCCCTGGCTCTCTGGGAGAAGGCCAAGGCACACTGAAGTGCGCACGTACCTTGTAGAGAGGCCGGCCGCACTGCTGGGCGAAGTTCATGTAGAACACCATCAAGGCCCGTCGGAAAAGCCCCAAGTCTGCCGATGACACAATTGCATGGTAAGGCCGAGTCAGAGGCCATACAAAATACTCCCATATGGCCCAAGCTTGGAGGGCCAAGATGATGTCGCCTTCACCTTAATGCTTTGCACACCTAATAGGTCAGCAGTACATGTTGGCCTTAAAAAACAGAGCCTGCGGCCCCTGGGGGCTGTCCCGTGAGGCAAGCGAGATCCAGGCATCGCCCTGCAGAACGGCAAGTGAGGTGGATACAGTAACAAGCGCTCACCAATAATCTGGGCGACTGACCAGCCCTTCTGTGGTCTCCTTCGGCTAAGATTCCCTTTGTTTACAGTTTACTCCAGTGCTGTTTCCTTCAGAGCAGAGATGTGATGGGGCCCCTCAAGCTGCCTTAAAACATCTGCACTCTCTAGAGGATGGGGAATCTTAGCTTGCAAAAATTCTACTCTGTATTTCCCTGTGTGGTTATAAGTCGGTGAGAACTGAACTCAGGCGTCCTAAAGTCTAAGAAGCATGCTCAGAAAGCCTAAACTTGTGCGGAAGCTGGAATCAAAGGGATGTAAGTTAAGATGGCAAGCATAAGATAAGGAAAGAATTTTTAAATGCGATCCTTCAAAAGCACAGGATGAAACACACCAAGAGTGTGTGTTACGATTGTTATATCACAACAATGTGATTGTATCACAGAGTGAGGGTGGCAGGTGGAGCTTCCTGGAAGCTCTCTACCCTTGCACACATCACCAGGAAGGCTGGGGTCTGCTCAAAGCGAGCATTTCCATGAGGGTGGGCCCCAGCTCTGTTGTGAATGCTGTCCCCCTTCACGTCTACCCCCGGGGTCAGTGGAACCAGACCTCACTAGACAGGATATGCTGAGGGATGGAGGAGGGAGGCGTGGGTCCACGCAGTAGCCCAGGAGAGGCGCGGGGCAGGCTGGGTTGGGTGTATCCCTGCCCCTGAGCCCCCCTCTGCCCCCCCCTACTGAACCTGCCCAAGCTGGAAGGGGTGCTCAGGGAGCAGCCTGGCAGGACAGCCCGGTGGGTGGCTTTGTTAAGAAAACAACCGAGAACCCTGGGAAGGGTGGCTGAACGTTACCTGTATCAGACACATCTGAATCAGTGGGAAGCAGAGAAGAAATGAGAAAAGAAAATGACATAAGAAGGTAGCCAAACAGGTAAACTCCTGGTCATTTTGTTTTTCTCTCAAAATGATGACTTTCATTTTCTTTTCCGATTGAGAAAAAAGTAACGTTTGCTCATCACAGAGAACACAGAACCTTTCTGCCCAGCTCAAACATTCCCAAGTCTACTATTCCTCAAAGAGGGAAGCAGATGTCTGTCTGTCCCCGTCTCCTTCGGGCACCACTTGCCCTGTGCACTCCGCCCTCATGAGCGATCCCTGCTGTCCCCTTCTCCGGCTAGCACAGTTGTGACCTGGGCAAGTAGCTCTATGGCTTTCTGTCCTCCTTATGAAATGCTCTGCCCCATCGCTGCTGTCTTTCCTGTGTCCACGTTCATTTTCAGGTGTGGCCTAAGGGCCACAGAGAAGGGTGTATGTCATTCTAGAAAGCAGAAGCAGCTTATAAAATGGGCAGAGAGAGGCTGGTGTTGGCTGAGCCACTGTCCACTAACCCAGCTTCCTGTCTTTGGACTAAGTTTAGTTGTGACCATTGTCACCATAGAATGGCACATTTTCCTTTAGACGCTGGTAAATCTGTGACCACTTGAGGAAGACTCCCTGGGTAGAGAAATTGAACATACTCAGTGATGCTGTGCACTAGCTGTCCTGCATTTACTTTGGCCACACCTCCGTCCTGCACTGTGCCCCCCGGAAGGCAGACTGCAGGACCCTGTAAGTGGATTTGCTCCCTCTCTATGGATTTGGACAATGGGAAACCCCAGCAGGAGACTGGAGGGGCTCAGGAAGGGGAGTGAGCGTGGACTATTCATCCACATGGTGCCCTCCCTGTAAGGTTGCCTCAGACTGGCCCATGTCTGTCAACTAAAGATCACTGTTTCTTTCAGAGTGACTTCCTCTCCTTCCACATTTTGGTAACCAACCCCTCCCTGTTCTTTGGGCTCTCCTGCTCCTGACCCCAGGTTGCCAGGCTACCTCATTCACTCTCCTCTACCCCAACCTCGTCTAATGAATGGTCCCTTTGTGATTAAATCTTCCATCTTTGGGTATGACATCTTTTCCTGGTGAGACCCTCCAGACTACCATATGGTCATAATATAATACATTCCATTTCTCCTTTTTAAGAAGGTAAACTAATACAGTATGGCATAATGGTATGGGGCAAAAGTGGTATAAATACACTAACACCTCCCTTATGTATTACTCATGGTCACTAATGTTTCATTTATCTGTATTCAAGTTTATTTTTCCAACTCTAGGAGAACCCAGGAGCAGCCAGAACAACCGTGCTTCAGATTATTTTCCTTTTCAAAGTTGACTTTGTATGACTTCACTCACCTTTGTGAGTGAAATCTAGAGGTTAGGGCATGACCAGAGCCCCCAACCAAAGCTCTACACAACCAGTTAGTGATGCTTCCATTGGGCAACTTGAAGATACGTTGGGTATGTTAACGCCAAAGGCAATTCTACTGACTGAGCCCAAGGGGAAAACTAAACTACCAAAATTGTTTTATTCAGCTTTCTAATCTTAAAGCTACTTGTTTATGTAGAATCATTCTTAGACCTGGCCATATTTTAAAGGCCCTAGCTCCCCAGTGAGTGAGGGGTCTGCCAGGCGAGGGAACTATTCCTTCTCCTTCTGGGCCACATTCTGAATTCCCAGACCCCAGAATTCCCTGCCCAGATGGACTTGAGTCCATTTGCAGAGCCTATGTAGCCCCCTTCCTCCATTGACCTTCCTGAGGGCAGATGGTGCTGCTAGAGTGAGCACCTCTAGGGGCAAGGAGTGGCCACCTGGATGTTGGGCAAGAATGTTCATGTACATACCTGTGAGAGCCCTCAAGATGCAGGACAGAGCCAGAGTGGAAAGAAAAGACTGGTAGAGGATGGGGACCAGCTATGTTCTAGAGTGTTCTTGAGGAACTGACAATTTTAAATTTGAACCTGGACCTTCTAGGTTATAATGAAGGCATATTATATTTATCAGTTTGTTGGTCTTCCTTCCTTCCTTCCTTCCTTCCTTCCTTCCTTCCTTCCTTCCATGTATTTAATAGTTTTTTTTTTTAGTCTGCTTTACAACTTTAAAATTTTTACACATGATATGTGGGCTTGTATTTACATTCTTGCTTTGGGCTCTGCAAATATTAGGGATGGGACTATGTTTATATATAATTATTTTTCTTGAAATATATTTAAGTCTGACTTCCTGGCCCCTTAAAAGGACTGGGGAAATGTAAATGCTCTACAATGACTTAAATCTGTTCCCGCATATAACAACTGATGGCAGCAGATCAGAAGCTGACTTCCATGGGGCAGTCAGTGCTCTAACGTGATATGTGTACATTGTTGGGGAGAGTTCAGCAGGTGTCCTGTCTGTTAAGAATGGCAAGTCTCAAAACATTCATCCCAGTCCCAGAGTTTGGAAACCATATATAATTCATTCTTGATAACCATTTAGCCTGCTCAGAGAAATGCTCCTTTTAGAAGGTACAAACTGAATACGATTTCTGTAGGTGGAATGAGTGGCGTGATGACCACACCATTCTTCAAACACTTTCAGAGTTCTGTGAGTTATAAAGCACCAGGACTTGGAGCTGGAGGTCGGCCTCAGTCTGAGGTATGGCAAGCTTACTTCTCAGTTGAAAAGAGAACTAGTGGCAACAGCTCACTGGGATCCTATACAGAAGAAGTTATTAAAGCCAGAATTCAGAGCCCGTGTTCATGATGACCAGCTTACCGTTTAGGGTAAGCAAAGACAATGTTTTCTCGGTACGTTCATCAGTGTGTTTAGTGTAGAGTGACAGGTGACTCACCGATCTTGAAACGACCCATGTAGTAGATCTGGGTGCTGAGGGCCAGGGATGCCAGGATGTGGATCGCAGAGAAGATGACCCAGAACCACACGTTTTCTCCAGACACCTAGGAGTAAAGATGGAAGTTACCTTCATCTGGGGTGCGCCCCACAGAACTCACGAAAATCATTCTGTCTCTCATGTATGCATCTGGAGTCAAAACCCCAGCTGTGCATGCATTGTGGTGTCCCCCCACTTCTGTGAGCTCACCAGAATCTTACTGCACGAAAACGAACGGCCGCCCGATGACAGCGGGAGAGGGAAGAAACGGGGAAGGCACCGAACAGCAACAGTGAAGGGGCAACAGGTCTAGAGCTGGGGGCGAATGCTCTTCAAACAACTGCACCCAACCGACACGTGTCCCTGCACATTCCGCGAGTGGCGTCTACTCAGTCTGTCTCTCCAATCAGCTTGTACATCTCTGTGCTGATCTCGCGTGAGTCAGGTCCCAGCTTGACAGAGACACTCTGCAGCGCTCGCTCTACAGGTGCCTCTTCCATTATTAGAGATAACTAGCTCATTAAGTCAATAAAATGCCACAAAGTGACCCACAATGGCTGCCTATCAGGAACCGAGGACTGTGATTCACTCAGACCTGTTTCCCTGAGGTCCAGCAGACACAACGGAAAACCTCCCAAGGGGGCGCGCTTGGAAAGTGGGGCTGAAGACCATGGCGGGGGGGGGGACACGAACCGCTCCGAGGACAGTGAGCGCGATGACCACCGCGAAGGAGGCGTAGGCAGCGTAGGCACTGGCATTGATGTCCGGGTGGCGGGTCTGGTAGAGCTTCAGCATGCAGAGGCCGGCAATTATGTACATGAAGGAGGTGTCTGAGGGCACATGGAAGGAGCCTAAACAGTCAAGATCCAGTAGGTGACAGACTTTCTCCTGAGCTTGGGAACCCCCTGCCTTCAGGCCCTGCATTATTTGCTGCCCTCAGACTATGTGGAGACCTCCAACATGACAGCCTCCATGGGCACGTTCTCTAGCCAGACCCTACCCACTCCACTTCTAAACCCCTCCGACACTGCTTCTAGTTTACCAAAGCCAGGTATCTGATCACATGATAAATAATTGACTGTCCCCACTTGCAGGGAAATTTGTGTTTAAGTGTGTTCAGCAGCTATAACAGGAGTCTATACTGATAACGATTAGGGTGCTGGGGCAATACAAAGAATCCTAGGTGGGTGTCGAAGGTCCTTATCAGTGTCCCAAAATAGAACCACATCGATTGCTGCTCATACATAGCTTTACAGCCGAGGGATGGAAGACCGCTAGAAATTAAATGGGGCATAGCTGCATGAGAGCTGCATGGAAATGCAAATTAAAACAACAAGGCAAAGTCCCATATTACTCAAGAATGTAGCAAAACATTTACATGTCGGACAATGACACGTTCATGATAATGTAGGGAAATGGGAACTCTCAGGCAGCTGGTGGGAGTAGAAATTAATACTCTCTAGAAACTGGGAAGTTTTTGGCAAAATGGAAGATGCATAACCCAGGTGATTCCAAAATTCTAGGTCTAGGTGTCCCAGGGAACTTCTCCCATGCGTTCACTGTGGCACTGTGCAATAGCAACACGTCGGCGACATCTGCATGGTGTTCCACAGAGTAACTGATAAATGTAGAGTACATATTTTTATTACAGAAGATGACAGTCCTTAAAAATGAATGAACTGGATGTCCTTGATTCAATATTGATAAATCTTGAAAACATATTGTTGGATGAAAAAAGTTACAGAACATAGTGTGATAAGTAAATATTAAATTTACTACAGATGTAGTAAAATTATAAAAACAAACTGGACTGATAAATATAAAATTAGTCATAGCTGTTGCCTCTGGGGAAGGAGGGAGGGGAATAAGTTTGGAAAGAAGTTCAAAGAACCTCAACTTTATCACAGCATTTTATTTCCTAAAAGGTCGATTTATGGCAAATATTTTAAAATGTTGGCATTTGTTCTGAGTGGTGACTGATACTGTTCTCTGTAGTTTTTTGCTACTAAAAATGTTTCTAATTAAAAAAAATTAAATATGACAGAGAATTTCTGTGGTGTTCTGGGTTCACAGACAGAGGCTGGAACACAAACATGAAAACGGCTGTTTTTAAAATTCATATCCTTGAGTGTGGGGGTCACGGTTCATTGCCTACTACTAGCAACAGCTCTTCCCTTCCTCCTTCCTGACAGCATATCAGTACTAACTCAAATATCTTAGCCCCATTTTCAATTCAGAAATGCATGCCTTTCCAGCCTATTTGTTTTAGCAAAGCTACTCCAACCCCTGGTTCCATGGATGGGTCTCACTGGTCTAAAGATAATGCCCCTCCTTTGCCACCCTGATTGGTGTACCAACCCAGGCTTGAGCTAACCATCACCTAGGGAAAAATTCTGGAATGGGCTCGTGACTATTTAAACTACTGAGGTGTGGAAGAACATTCTCTGAGGGTTTTTGGCAAAGAAGTATCCTCGCTCTTAAATGAAGGCTCCTGGAAACCAGCTTGCTGCATCCACCAAACATCATGAAGTAGAGACAGGAAGCCAGGACCTGCTGTAGCTATTCTTGCCATCATGAGTTTCCTAAAAGCCTGAGGATAAAATCAGCCTACAGGCCGAGCCCAAACCAAGGGATCGAAGAGAACCGGAGCTAGAGCGGCCTGAGGAATCAATTGCAAGCCTTTCCCACCTTTGGATTTTCAGAAGGTGAGCTGATATTTGTCCTTATTGTTTAATCCAGTTGAACTGGGCTTTCTATTATTTTCAGCCCAAAGCAGTCTAATTGCTAAGTTAGGTCAAATTATACTAAGGGAACTTTCCAGATGTCTGTTGGTGGATTCTATCTGCCCTGCTGCCTAATGCTTAGCCCATTGCCCACCTGCAGATCTAACCATAGGATCATCATTCAATGTTGAACCTTTTCTAGTCTGAAAGGTGGTCAGAGAGAAAAGATGGTACAACATGTGGAAACCATACCCGGTGAGGAGATGCCCTCAAATCACTTTAGCTCACATAAAATATCATTTAATTCTTGCATGCATTTGGGGAGGGTCTCAGGACAAGACTCATAACTCAAATCTGTGTGGTTGATGGAAATTCGAATTACCGAATTGGAAGTTGTAGTAATTAGGGCAGACATGGTAACAAGCACTGAACACTCCTTGCATGATCAATGCGATGCCCATTGCATAGAAAACACCGAAGTGTTTAGGAATCCCACACTCCTGAAAGAGGAGAAAGCATGGTCAGTGGAAAGACACCAACTGGTGATATAGCCATAGAATCTGGAAACCCAAGCTTCTGGCCTCCTGTTGTTCTTTTCACATAACCCACCACCACATGATCCAGCCAGATGTCCCTCCCCTTTGCAGATACTGTGTGGAACCATTACCCTTCCTCGCTCCCACGTCTGATTTACCCACCCTCTCCTCACCATGGCAAAGCTGTCCTTGGCTTCCAGGGCTCTGTGATGGAGAATGTCCCGGCGCAAGACTATCAGCAGGAAGAGGAAGCCCAGGAGCATGTAGCCCAGGTTACTGAAAATGTTGTTGAAGGCACTAAGAGATGAGAGGGAAACCATGAGAGAGTCCAGGCGATCCCAGAGATTTGGAGAATGAATGAATGCATGCATGAATGAATGCATGAATGAGTGAGTACTCTCAGCATTCCATGTTTTCCGCCCAGCCTTATCATCAGATTTCACGACTGGCAAATCATGAGAGAGCATCTTTAACCTCACTCCTTTATTTTAGGATGCCTAGCCTGTGATGTGTCCGTTTCCGCTCTGGGATGCCTGATTGGCTTCCCTAACCCTCACCCAAGCCTCTCTTACCCTGATGGCACTGACATGGAATGAATTCTGGCAAACAGCTGCTCCAAGGATGGGCAGCTTGGCCAAGAGTTTCAGCTACACTGTGAGAGGGAACTCTCATAGCCGGACCCATGCTATGCGTGTTGGAAGTTGTAGTAATTAGGGCAGACATTCAGCTCTGTAACTGTGAAGGGTCAGCTGGTCATGGCCAGCTGCTTTATTTCAGGAAACTGAGGCTACTTTAGTTCTGGGACAAGAAGCCTGGCTCCCAACTGCCGGGCGAATGCTCTTTCCACTTCACCATGTTCTGGTGGGCAGAGCATGGCCTTGGAGGCAGCAGGCCCGGGTTTGAGTCCTGACAGCACTAACAGTTGAGGGACCTCCCACAACAAGTCCTTACCTTTCTAAGCCTTAGCACCTTCATCTGAAAATGGGAGTAATGATAATCCTATCTATTTTATGAGGTTGTTCAATGGACTAACGTACGAGCCACTCGTATGACGCTCACGGATGAGTGTCATCACAGATGGGACCTGCTCTTTTCAAAAACATCCCTGCCCTCTTCTCAGCTGGTTATTCTTAGGGATACAGGAACGAGAGGAACACATCTGGTCTCAAAACTTCTAGATTTCATCCCTGTTTACCCTTGACTGGGGTAGTTTTCCATGGTTGTTTTTAGTATTTTTAAAAACTGACATCGCATCACCTAGAAAGGAACCTGTAAATGCCTCACAGGCAACCAGAGGACGGGGCTCACCTCAGGGTGCCCAGGGGGTGAGCACAGAGGAAGTTGTAGTAGCAGATGTCCTGATTGCCCGTGACATTTGCCACCTGCAAAATCAAGAGTGAGAAGAGGAGCTTCATGTTTCCCCATCTGCTGAGCCCAGCCTGAAATCACAAAAGGCAGGCACTGCTCACAGTGATTTGCCACATAACCAGTGTTTCTTCTCAGCAGAGGACAGGTCATCGTCTGCCCCCTTCATATAGCACAGGCTTATTAGGACTGTCATGATATGTTCTATTTTCTAGATGCATGTGGAAGGGTATGGAGCTGTCCCATTCTGTGTGTGGAAGTGCTAACCACAGGGCAAGGCAACATGAGGAGGTATGTGTTCAGTTTTCCATATTTATCACCATCTCTATCATTAAGAACCTTCCCAGACCATAGCACAGCTCTATCTTCTGACAGGGCCCTGAGGTACTCAGAGAATATTGAGATTACAAGCAGTGGTGCCCAAACCTCATAAAAGTCCTTCTCCTTATCCCATAGTAAGTATGGAACTGGCTAAATATTATTAGACCATTGCTTTTCAAACTTGGCTATACATTAGAATCACTGGGGTTTAATCAATACTGATGCCTGGTTCTACTCTCAGAGACTTGGATCTAATTTGGTATAGGGTACAGCTGGATACCAGGATTTACAAGCTCCCCAGGTGATTTTGATGCACAGCAGTTTGAGAGGCACTGCCTTAGAAACACCGTCAGCCTCGTCCTTTTTATTTTTTATTTTAAAGATTTTTTATTTTTTTATTTTTAATTAATTACTTTTAAAAAATATTTTATTTATTTATTAGAGAGAGAGAGAGTGAGCAAGGCTACAAGCAGGGGGAGCTGCAGGCAGAGGGAGAAGCAGGCTCCCTGCTGAGCAAGGAGCCTGATGCAGGACTCGATCCCAGGACCCTGGGATCATGACCTGAGCCAAAGGCAGACGCTTAACTGACTGAGCCACCCAGGCGTCCCTATTTATTTATTTGACAGAGAGAGACACAGCGAGAGAGGGAACACAAGCAGGGAGAGTGGGAGAGGAAAGGCAGGCTTCCCGCCGAGCAGGGAGCCCGATGCAGGGCTCAATCCCAGGACCCCGGGATCATGACCTGAGCCGAAGGCAGACGCTTAACAACTGAGCCATCCAGGCGCCCCCAGCCTCATCCTTTTTAAGTAGGCTTTCTCTATGTAATAAATGCTAGAGACGGTCATTAAGTGATCTGGACCCCAAGGTTCTATGAAGGAGTAACGAGGATTCTCAAGCTGTTTTAATTCTTTTTTTTTTAACTTTATTTTAGTTCTTATTTTATATATTTTTTAAATTTGAGTATCTTTTTGGTTTTGTAAAGCTGTTTTTAGTTTTATAAAAAATATTTACCCTCAACGAGAGGGCACAGTCTAAATTACACACCAGGTTTCTTTGTTTTGGTCTGGAACTTTATGTACTCTATTCATTACCCCTTGATAATCAGAAGTTCAGCCTGGTAAATGGCAGATATAGTTGATAGATATTATGACTGAATGAGCATAAGGCAATACCTTCGAATTGGGTGACAAAATAATACAAGAGGTCCCAAGCCCTTCTGTGATAAAACAATTGGGAACTGGATATAAAGGTCCATCAAAGATGAAGCAATGGACAAGTCCAGTTGGAACTGAAGGGGGAAATGCATACTTGGACTGAGCTCAAGTGATATATACTTTTCCCTGTAAGTCATAGCAAAGATCTCTCCCTGCAGTATGAAAACTGGGATTCTGGGTTTCTGGGTAATACTTACTTTCTGGTAGGTGATGACCAGTTGGATCACAGGCAGTGCATAAAACACAGAGATGGTGACGATGTTCCTAAGCAGGCAGAAAGAACAGGAAATAGTTTTCCAAATTACCAATGGAATCTTTGCCCAATTTTTAAAAAAAGAATCCTTCCACCCCATAACTCCCTAGTTAACTTGTAAAAGTAGTTAGAAACTGATTAATAGAGTTCCTGTCTCTCCAGAGTTCCACAACTGCAATCATTGGTAAAACTATAAATAACACTTTCTTCTGCTTTACCCAAATTATGGATGAGGATGTTGTCTGATTAAAAGTGATCAGAGTGTAAGTAATGGGAGATGGATCGCATGAAGGGATGTGGCTTAGACACCTCTTAGTTCCAAAATGATGGTCCCACTGTGAAATTCCATGGGGCCCCACTGTCCCTTGCTTCCCTTGACTATCTGTACCCAAGTAAAAGGGCGTCCTTCCAGAGAAAAGAATGGAAGGGCTGTCACAGCATCAGCTTGGGGTTTCTGGGGTGGGGTATGGGCTGCGGGGTGTGGGTTGTGGGGGGGTGTCTCCTGCCAGGCGGCTCAGTCTCTCAGGTTGGAGAGAGGCTGTGTCTGGAGGTGCTTGACCACCACAGGGCAAATTATCACTGGCTGAGGTATCATCTCGTCTCAGGGTGGTTTCCAGCTACTCTGAGATGCTGTAGACTTCTAGGCCCCCAAATCACTGGCTCTTCTAAGATCCAGGTCGGGTGAGAAGACAGAATACATATTAAGAACATAAAGGCTCCAATTTAGTGTGTCTCATGGGAGGTAGTGACAGGTTATTGTTATGGTGTCTTTCTGGAAATGGATTTGGTGTGCTCCCTAAACATGTGGGAGTCTACCATCATTCTCGTTTTTACTTTGTATGTATTTAGTTTAGGGCTGGTTGCCTTTTACAGTTTATTTTTGTTTTTCTTATGGAATGTGGCATGAATTCTCGGAACATCTATACTGCTGCCTCATTAAACGGAAACTGGTGCCATAAGTGATTGTGGCTTTTACTAAGAAAACTTTCATTTTATTCAAGGGAACTGTGGTCCTAGCAATCATCTACTCACCAAAAATAAATCTTATATTTTTTGCTGATAATTCTCTGGTCCTTCCGGGACAGATCTGACAGGAAAAGGAACACCTAGGATACCAAATAAAAAAAGAATGAAAAACTGTACTTGGCTTTTTTGGCAGAAGATACAAAGGAGAGCTTTACAAAATTTCAATCCAGTACGTCGCTAGGGATTAAAAATATTTAATAAAACCTTTCTCTCAATTTTTTTTTTCACAATACCTCAATAAAAATCCTAGTATTTTCTCTGAAATGGTAAGAATTGGCTGATGTGGAAAAACTACTGGGAGTCTCAAATGCTTCATATATCTCAGGAACTGGTTTTCAGTTTTCAGAGATGTCTAGTGTGTGGTTCTCGAACGACAGGATCGAAACTGGGCAATCTACTTTCATCTCCCTTACTGGCTACAACACAATAAAATAAATATATGCCAGAAAGAAATGAGCTTTATTCCTGAAGAACGATATGTGCAGAACCAGGGAGTTTTCCCAGGTATACCCCTCAGTGAATCTTTTCTTCCATCTGCTGGATCCCTTCCTCCTTTATGGTCCTCAGTCAGCCGCTTCAGACCCTGAGTGGTGGTGTCGTTGCTGTTGTTGTTGTTTAAAGTTTTATTTATATAAGTAATCTCTACAACCAACATGGGGCTTGAACTTACAACCCAGAGATCAAGAGTAGCACGTTCTTCTGACTGAGCAGCCAGGCTCTCCCAGACCCCGAGGACCTGGAATAAAATGCTCTGTTCTAAATGCTCTCACTTTCTTCCTCCAGAAAGAAATGCTAATTAGCAGAGTATTGTTTATAGTCTGTACTTATGTTTTATCTCAAAAGCCCTCAGGGAAGTTTGGTTTTCCCTTGAAAGGAAAAAATAAAGGAAACTGAGGCTTGCTGAAGGTGTATTTGACTGTTGAACTTTCTGCCCTTGCCCAGAGTTTGGCCAAGCAGAGATACCTTGGTCCGGATGATGTTCTTATCACTCTCAATGTCTGGCAAGGTGTCGAAGTCACTCTCCTCCACGGAGCTGTCTGTGTCTGACTGGAATGTCTGCCCACCATTGGAGGAGGACATCTGCCTGCCAGGACTGGAACTTGACTCCTCTGAAACAGAGAAAACTCAGCTGCCTTCCAGAGCTAGGAAGGACCCATGCAGCCCATTCCTCTCTGCAAAAAAGCACAGTGCTGACTCATTCTTGCAAATGTTGTGCTGGTAAAAATGAACTCCTTACCCACAACACATGTGCTTTCTCTCAATTCCTCCTCAGTGGACTTCTAATTGTCTATTTCTAGGGCCAAATACATATTAAGAACATAAAGGCATCTGCTCTGATAAAGTATCTGGATGCAAAAAATACGATTATGCTTATATGTCATGTTTCATATTTTAAAATATGAACATAAATATATAAACATATACATGCACAGTTTTGTATAGCATCTACCACATATCCGTGTAAGCACACACATGTCCAGCAGCTATACATTGCTCGTGGAGAAAATATTTGTACACTGAAATCCCCCACATGCCGTATCTATGATTATATAATGAGAACAATACTCTTGGGAAGAAGAGTCCTTGTGTTCTCGTGAATGTTTCCCAGAGCAGATGGGAATTTGTGCAGCTTGATGAGCACATGAGCTGAGCCTACCTTTCGCTTTATTTCTTCTGTTCAGAGTGTTAAAAAAAACCCAAAAAACCCACCACAACAAAACCCTGTTCTTACAGAGCCAGAAATACGTAGCCTGCACGAAACCCACATGCTTCTCAAAGTTATAGCACACCAGAGCAGGAATAAGGATTCCCAGCCCCTCTGTCCTGACATTTTTAAACGAACCTTTCATAGACCCACAGGAATTCTGTCTCTTTCAGGCCACGCAATGAACCCTGGGGGGTTGCCATGTGAATGACTAGGTTCAATTATGAAGTTAGCCAGAATGAACGATTGTCAGGCTATAGCCATGTTCACCTGCAGCAGAGCCTTAGTCTTCTGATTGCCCTTACTCCACTGAAACCTGAGAATGAAACAGCTCGTCAATTGATGTCGGGCTCCCTGACATCGACTCTGACACACTGTTCATGCCCCAAACTCAGGCTGGGTATGAAAACATCCCGACGGGGACCTTGGGAGTCAATGGCAACCACGGTAGGGAATTCGGCTCATGTGTGGCTGGCACAGAAGAACAGAACTGGAGAGAGTTAGAGCTGGAAGGAGCCTTCCAGATCACCCAACTGATTCATCTTATAAAGAAAAGACAGTCTTACATGATGACTGCCTTGCCCACTCTCACGGTCAGTAGTGGCTGGAGGGCCCTTTGTATCCTATTCTCTGGAGAATTAGGAAGTACTTCAATGAATGGACTCATTGTAGGAAATACCTATTGCCCCATAATTGCTTCCTTCAGGGGTGCCGGCAGCAATGGGATGTGACACCGCCGTATTTCCAGAGCCTGTTGGAAAGAAACACAGAGACCAACACTTTACGTCCAGTTGCCGAAACAAAACAACACAACTCTAAGTAGTTTGAATCATAAGGCCACAACATTTTAAACTTGATTTTCTTTTTACCCTAATACAAGACCCACTAAACTTGACCTGCAGGCCAAATCTAGCCTGCCACCTGTTTTTGTATGGCCCTTGAAGTAAGAATGGTTTTAAAATTTTTAAATGGTTGTGCTCACTTTGGCAGCACATATACTAAAATAAAATTTTTAAATGGTTGGGGAAAGAAATCAGAAGATTTCATGACAGGTAAAAATTACATGAAATTCAAATTTCAGTATTCATATATAAAGTTCTATCAAAACACAGCCACAGTCTTTGGGTTCGTCTATGGCTGCGTTTGGCTATGGCGGAAGAGTTGAGAAGTTGCGACAGAGACGTCTAACATATTTGCTCTTTGGCACCTTACAGAGAAGAATATCTTCTGGTTCCTGCCTGAAGGGATTGCAGAATCGCAAGAACAAAGGGGCAGAGGTCGTAAAATCACTTGGAGGAAGGCCGTCACTGAATGGAAACATAGAAATAAACTTCTCTGATGAAAGCACTGTAATTTGGAGGTGTTTAAAATAGCATTTAGCAGTACCCTGACTATCGGCAGGATGAGCCCAGATAGGGAGGACATTACTGCACTCCTCGGAGCGACGAATGATGACAACTGAGCTAAGGATATGGAAGAATATGAGATATTTTGAGAGAGATTTCTGGATCTGTTGCCAAATGCCTGTTGGCAGGGAGAGAAAAACTGAATAAGATAATGTTCCTCAAACGTTTTCATTGAGAGGTACTCCTTGTAGCAGCACAGGGAGCGAACTCATTCCTGAGTCTGGTGGTGTCATCTGGAGCCAGGCTAGCACAAGTGTCAGAGAAAAATATCTGCGCACCATCTCCTTGGTTATCAGGCAAGATGCTCTTCATTGAGTTTATCCACCTCTGAGGATTAGGCAGAGCTGAACAAGGAGAGGAGAAACCACAAACAAGCAGCTTATCTAGGCCATTTCTCTGACTGACTTAATGCTACAGTGTTTCCAGGAGCCACACTCCGTCTGTGGAGATGCAGGAGAATATTTCTTCACTGCCTCCTGAGCTTTGTCAAGGATCTGGGATATTGTCAGGCTGGCAGGAATTTCAATATTGGATCTTTCTTCTGCGGTGAGGTTGCTTGTATCACATTACAGGCAAAAAAAAGTCTGTGAGTTAACTGGTCAGTCTCATATACTGTTGCAGGGAAATATATTTTCAGGGAAGACACATAACTGAGGATATTCTAGAATATCCTCACTGTAAATATATTTCCATTTCTTCACAGAAAATACCCTTCGCTATAGCTTACATTCGTGCTCCAGTATGTAACATGTGTAATGGAACCAAAAGCCTCCAACAGTTCATCATTTGTCACAGCCAACTCTCTTCATCCAGCTCTTAAACTTCCTCCCACTGGTGAGTAGTAAAAACATTAAAAACAAGCCAATCTGTAGGTTTTATCATGGTTTTTACTCTTGGTGTGTCCATTCCTTTTCTTCATGAAGAAAAAGAATTAAATCCTGAGTTCAAAATATTTAGCCAGATGATGAAAGATGGCCTTAGAGACACAATTTCCTTCCTCCTTTTGGTAGAGTAGCCAAGAGTGGGCTCAGCTGGACAGCAAGGCCTTTGGCTAACACGGTGTTCCTGGTGGGCAAAGCTGTTCCCAGGCCCTCAGAATGCAGACTCCCTGGCACTGTCCCCAGGCCTGGGGATTCCTTGATCTACTTCTTATCACTTCAAGAACACAGATGTTCCTTGGCCATTCTTGGGCTCACCCATAAATATGTAACATGGTGTCAACACCCGCTAAGCTTTTCATCCAACTTCAACGCAAAGGAGCAGATTATTCTCAGACTTTTAACTAGGAGACATTACATTTTTTTGTGTGCGCAATAGCAGTGTCATGTGGAGATGTTGTGTACAATTTGACTGGCTCTTTGACCTAGGACAGATTTGGCCATAGTTACAGCACAGAGCTTTGGTTGCTGCTTCTGCTACTGCGACTACTGACTATAAAGAGTCCCACGTGCTCTTCACACCACCGCTAGTACTGCCGCCGTAACTCATGCTCCCATTGTTGTTACTATGATGACAACTACTCCTACTAGTACTACTCCTACTAGTACTACTCCTACTACTACCGGCTAGTGTTTACTGAAAACTTACTGTATGTCAGACACCTTTTAAGTTCTTTACAAGAATTTACTCTTCTAATTTTTCAACAGCCCTATGAGGTGGGTACTACGATCACCATTTTAAAATAAGAAAAGGGAGGCACTTGAGAAATCAAGTGATTTGCCCAGAGTCCCTCAGATCATGGGTGGAGAGTGGTTCATTGTATTGGTTTCAGTTATAACTTATCTTCTTCTTCTTTTTGGGGGGGAGAGAGAGAGAGTGTGAGTGTGAGCAGGGGGAAGGTCAGAGGGAGAGGGGAAGGGAGAGTCTTAAGCAGGCTCCACGCCCAGCATGGAGCCCAACTTGGGGCTCGATCTCATGACCCTGAGATCATGACGTGAGCTGAAACCAAGACTCAGGTGCTTAACCGACTGAGCCACCCAGGCGCCCAAAACGTATCTTCTTTTTTTAAAAGGATTTTATTTATTTATTTGAGAGACAGAGAGAGAGAGAGCTTGAATGTGGGGCACGGGGGGCAGAGGGAGAGGGAGAAGCAGGCTCCCACTGAGCAGGGAGCCCGATGTGGGGCTCGATCCCAGGACCCTGGGATCATGACCTGAGCTGAAGGCATACGCTTAACTGACTGAGCTACCCAGGCACCCCCAAAACTTATCTTCTTAACTGAAAAATAATACAGGGATTTTCCTTCAAAATATGAATGTCTGGCAGCAAGGGTGTTACTTCCATGGAGTGTCCAAGGATATCTTTCAAAAGAGACAAGGAGGTTGAGACTCCTTTGCATCTCCACTATAGTAAGCTGATACTTTAAAGAAGTATCTAAGCACAACATTTGTTTTTAGGTTGTCTACTGGTGTTTGTCGATGATCCTCTATTGGGTCATGCTAATATCTTCGTTCTGTCTAGTTCACTGCAGGGAGTCTCACAGAAACCATGGTGATAGGCTCATCCCAGGTGATGTAGCCTTTTACATTTCCCTCAGTGTCTTTCATATTTTTCTCTTTTCAAGCTTAAGCTCCCTCTTTTTAAAAATTTCGACTCAAGTATAACTAACATACAGTGTTATACTAGTTCCAGGTGTACAACATGATTCAACAATTCTGTTGAATTCTTGCTCATCCTAAGTGTACTCTAACTCTCCATCACCTATTTCACTCATCCCCCCCACCCACCTCCCCTCGGGCAACCACCAGTTTATTTTCTGTATTTAAAAGCCTTTTTTTCTTATTCATCTTTTTTTCTTTGTTTGTCTGCTTTGTTCCTTAAATTCCATATATGAGTGAAATCATATGGTATTTGTCTTTCTCTGACTGACTTATTTCACTTAGCAGTATGCCCTCTAGATCCATCCATGTTGTTGCAAATGGCAAGATTTCATTCTTTTTTATGGCTGAGTAGTATTTTCTTTAAAGAATTATTTATCTATTTGAGAGAGAGAGAGAGTGTAAAGGGGGAGGGACAGAGAGAAAGAGAGAGAGAGAATCCTGAGGCACAGGATGCGGGGTTCCATCTCACCACCCTGAGATCATGACCTGAGCCAAAACCGAGAGTCGGCTGCTTAAAGGACTGAGCCACCCAGGTGCCCCTAAGTAATATTCTATCACACACACACACACACACACACACACACACCCCACATCTTCTTTATTCATTCATCTACCTATAGACACTTGGGCTGCTTCCATAATTTGGTTATTATAAATAATGCTGCAAGATACATAGGGGTACATATATCTTTTTGAATTAGTGTTTTCATTTTTGGGGGACAAATACATAGTAGAAATTACTGGATTATATGGTAATTCTATTTTTCAATTTTTTGAGGAATCTCCATTCTGTTTTCCACAACAGCTGCACCAGTTTGCATTCCCACCCACAGTGCATGAGGGTTCCTTTTTCTCCACATCCTTGTTGGACGCTTGTTATGTCTTGCTTTTTTGATTCTCGCCATTCCGACAGGTGTGACAGGCGCCTCATCGCGGTTTTGATTTGCATTTCCCCGACGACGAGTGATGCTGAGCGTCCTTGCAGCTGTCCGTTGGCCGTCCAGACCTCTTCTTTGGAGAAATGTCTGTTCATGTCTTCTACCTATTTTTAAATTGGATTATTTGTGTGTGTGTTTTTGGTGTTGAGTTATATAGGTTCTTTATATTACTTCGGATATAATTCCTTATTGGATACATCATTTGCAAATATCTTCTTCCATTCAGTAAGTTGTCTTTTTGTTCTGTTGATGGTTTCATTTGGTGTGCAGAAACTTTTTATTTTGGTGTAGCCCCATTAGTTTATTTTTGCTTTTGTTTCCCTTGATCGAGGAGACATGTCTAATGTTGCTAAGGCTGATGTCAAAGAGATTACAGCTTATGTTTTCTTCTAGAAGTTTTATGGTTTTAGGTCTCACATTTAGGTCTCTAATCTATTTTGAGTTTATTTTTGTGTATGGTGTAAGAAGACAGTGGTTCAGTTTCATTCCTTTGCATGAATGTCCAGTTTTCCCAGCGCCATTTGTTGAAGAGACTGTCTTTTTCCTTCCCATTGTTTATTCTTGCCTCCTTTGCTGTAGATTAATTGACCATAAAAGTGTGGGCTTATTTCTGGGTCCTCTATCCTGTTCCATTGATCTACATGTCTATTTTTGTGCTAGTACCATACTGTTTTGATCACTACAGTTTTGTAGTATATCTTGAATTCTGCAATTGTGATTTTTTCATCAGTTTTGTTCATCTTTTTCAAGACTGCTTTGGCCATTTGGGGTCTCTTGTGGTTCCATACAAATTTTAGGATTATTTAT